CACCGATGCTTCTATTTGCGTATCTATAGATATCAGATTACAAATTAAAACTCCTCATAACCATCTAAATTGCTCGGTTTCCAGTGTACAGAGGTTTTATGATTCACTATCAGTGAGGGTTTCCAAAAGAGATTATGTCTAGATAACACTCCCACCTCCCCAATCCCTCCTCAACTTCTCATACTTCCTCAAATCCGACACACTTGGCCTAATGCCCGCTTTCGCCGCTACGAAGTCCTCGAAACGTATCGTATCCCGCCGTTTTATGGCAGAATAGCCAGCCCGACGCAACAACGATCCCAGATCAGCACCGCTAAACCCTTCACACGACCTCGCCAACCCTTCAATATTATCCGAGAACTCAATCGGCAATTTCCGCAGCAGCGTCTGCAGAATCTCCACCCGCTCATCAGCACTAGGCAGATTTACAAACAACAAGGTCTCCAGCCTGCCCGGCCGCAGCATAGCCGGATCGATAATATCCGGCCGATTTGTGGCAGCGATGACATATATACCCTGCCGCGCGCTACCCAGCCCATCCAGCTCGGTGAGAAGGGTATTGACGACACGCGCGGAAGCTTCAGAGAGCGTATCATCGCGGCGGGGGACAAGGGCGTCCAGTTCATCAAAGAAAATGACGCAGGGGACTGAGGAGCGGGCGCGCACAAAGACCTGCCGGACGGCGCGTTCGGATTCGCCAACGTATTTATTCAGCAGCTCCGGGCCCTTGACGCTGATGAAGTTGGCGCGAGACTCGTTGGCGACTGCTTTGGCGAGGAGTGTCTTTCCGCAGCCTGGAGGACCCCAGAGCAAAACTCCTGTTGGGGCAGTGATGCCGACGCGGGCGTATATGTCTGGGTTGCGGATGGGTTCGACTATTGCTGTGGCGAGTTCGTCACGGACGCCGGATAGGGCGCCGATGTCTGCCCATGTTGTGTCTGGGATGGTGGCGAAACCTTCGCGCTTAGAGGATGGTTGGATTTTAGGTAGGGCGGTGAAGAAATCTGTGTTGGAGACTGAGACTGTTTGGGCTTCGGAGTCGAGAGGGGTTTCGCGGGCGTGTTTGATGAGGCGGCGGAGTTCGAGGATTTTGGGGCTTATAATGCTATTGCGGTTACCATCATCTTCATTTGCAGTGTCTCCTATGTCCATTTCATCGCCTGTATGTGATTTCAGGAGTTCAATATATCGTTTTATGGCCGCGATCAGCGGTGAGACGAGGTCGTTCAGATCAGCACCGACAAATCCGGGGGTTCTTTTGCCAGGAGCTTGAAGTCCAGATCATCTGCCAGGTTCATGTCCCTTGTTAGAGTACGAAGGGATTTGCTCCCTTACGGGCTCGCTCGGGACGGTAAGATTGATCTCCTTGTCAAATCTCCCACCTCGCCGTAGCGCAGCATCCAAGCTATCTGGTCGATTCGTAGCTGCCAATACAATCACAGGTTTTCCATCCGTTTTTTCCAAAGCCAAATCATCCATGCAAGTAAGTAATTGGGCAACGATACGTTTTTCCATTTCCCTCTGAGCACTCTCGCGTTTAGGGGTGATCGCGTCGATTTCGTCAATGAATATGAGGCACGGCGCAACTTTCTTTGCCTCGTCGAAATGTTCCCGTATTGCCTTCTCGGATTCTCCAGACATACCAGAGACTATCGACGGCGCTGATATTGCGATAAACGGCACACCAAGCTCCGCTGCAAAGGCATTGGCAATCATGGTTTTGCCACAACCAGGTGGGCCGTGAAGCAACACCCCCCGGGGAGGTTGCACTTTCGACGAGGAATAGACCTGAGGGCGTGTCATAGGCAAGACTAGAAGGTCTTCAAGTTCCTGAATTATATCGTCCACTCCGCCTAGATCCGCCAAGTTGACATGAGTAGGAGGTGACCTGTCAATATTGCTTTCACCCTTTCTTCGTTTAGGATGCGACTCGCCGCCAGCCTGCCGTCTTTTATTTGATATAGCTGTAGGCGCTGGCGATGCCGAATCAGTTCCTGCCACATCCACTGGTTTCTTGGGCATCACTGGCATCTTTGATTGAGTGTCCCACATTCCCACGATACTCTTGTTCATGCGATTAGAATCCTTGATACGATCAGCAAATCCCATCAATGCCACTCCAGGAGAAAATTTTCCAGCAAGTAAGCAAGCATACCAGAATTTCATTCTTCTCCTCCAATCCTTCTAAATCTCCGTTAACCGAATCCGATTCCTCATGGCCAAGCGCATCCGTTTTGACTACCTCCAGTACCCGTTCGATACTCTCTTCCAGCAATTTTTTCCCTCTTCGATTGAGACTAGAATTTGACCGTTTTATCCGCTCGTAGACAAACCACGGAGTTAAGCGTCCATTTTCCCCTTCTAATTGGAGGTCGTCGGCAATCTTGCGCACTATTTGATACACCTTGTTTGCGATAGGAAGGTCAAATCACATATTCGTGGAAAAAAAAAAGAGCGGAGATTCATGAGCATACCTCTTTATCCAGACCATGCCCGAGCGTTGGTCTACCACCACGGTTTCTCGGAGCCATACAGCAGTGGGAAGGCCGTCAACGGTCCTCTCTTTCTTATTTCTCCCCCGAGGAACTTGTGATCTTCTGTATAAAATTCGATATCTTGACTAGAAATCTCGGGGTGTGGAAAAATGATAGACCGAAACCAACGATGCAGAGTCATGTGACTTGAGCCTTCCATCGAGCGTTTGCTTCAATAGAAAGAAAAACCATTGAGCCGAACACTATTGATATATTACTTGAAAAAAAATAAACCGGGGCTTTCTACAGAGCCTATCTGACTTGATTTCACTGCTTTAGCCAAAATTTTATATCTCGGAGAATCGTAAACGACTACATATCAGTCATATCTTATCAATCTGGAGTGTTCCGCTGTAATTCGGCCAGGTATTAATATTACCGCTGCTCCCTCGCCTTCGCTTGCCTGACCAGACCAAAAACCACCAAAGCTTCCTCTTCACTCCCACAAGAAGGATGTTACAACAATGGGCAACACATCCAGCTCGCAGAAAATATCCGCTCAGGACAAGTATAGCTTCCCCCCCCCCCTTCCAACAGACCCCGTATCCCCTATCGCCCACGGCCCTCCAGCAGATTCCTAACATACTTCTCCGCCTCCCCTTACATGCCCAAATCCTATGATCTATTAAGCTTACCACTCAACCGCTCAACTTACTCCACAGAGCAATCCTTGACCTAAAAAACCAACGCGACAAACTCCACCAATACCAAAAACGCATCACCGCTCTCACAGACCGCGAAACCCAAATCGCGCGAGAATGCCTTGCCCGCAACGACCGGTCACGCGCCCTGCTGGCTCTCCGCCGTAAGAAGTACCAGCAGTCCCTTCTGGCGAAGACAGACGCGCAACTTGATCAGCTAGAGCGGTTAACGGGTAGTGTCGAGTTTGCCCTGGTGCAGAAGGATGTGCTGTTTGGGCTGAGCCAGGGGACCAAGGTGCTGCAGACGATCCATAAGGAGATGGGGGGCCTCGAAGCGGTGGAGAAGTTGATGGGTGATACAGAAGAAGCCAGGGCGTATCAGGAGGTTCGTTTTATATCTTATATCTCCGTTATCTTGCCCTTAGTTATCCTGTATTTTTGTTTTTTTTTTTTTTGAACGTTACTGTCCATTCTTGTGCTCATACGCCCTGGATTTCAACAGGAGGTCAGCCGCATGCTGGGTGCCCAAATGTCCAACCAAGACGAGGACGAGGTAGAAGATGAGCTCGAGGCAATGGAGTTGGAAATTTCTGGCCCGGTCAGTCTTCCGGATGCGCCTACATCGGCGCTGAACGAGGAGGCGGAGCTGGAGAAACAGGTGAAGGCCAAACAGCGTGCCAAAGCCAGGGCGAGGGAGAGGGAGAGGGCGGCCGTGCCAATGGAAGCTTAGTTGGTGTTGTCCGTTGGCTCCTCTTTTGATCCTTTCTTTTGTTTTTCGGCTTGCATAGCGATTTTATGTTGGCGTTAGATGGCATATATTACATGCATAGTTCATCCTCTTTTTATTGTAGCTTCTGGCGTCCAGGTTCTCAAGAGTGGGATATCTTTGTGAAGCACCTAGTTCTCTATATATTGCTGGTGGTTGCATTTACGCTTACATCTACATTTATATTATATTTATATTATCCTTGCCCGCGTGTGGCGTTTTATTCCTCAACCCCTATCTAGAGACGAATTTGAGCGATACAGAAACAGTCATAACATAATCTCTATGGTGCTGCACTCATATGCTAAGGAACAAATATAATTGTATTACTAATAATTGCAAGAAGGGAATAGAATTTCAACAAAATGAAAGGAGGGGGAGAAATAATTAAGTAAGAGCATTGCCAGACAAATAATCATACCACATTTCGTCGTCATCAACACATAAAAGCCCTCGCTTCAGGGAACCCCTCCCTGCCCACACTGACATCAGGAAGAGTGAAACCCCTTACCTGCCAGGCCCAATAGTCCTCCCCACCCCCTGCACCCCCTGGATAACGGCATGATCCCTCGGGTTCGCCGCAGCCTCGTACAAAAACGTCACGGGCTCCCTATTCAATGCCATATGCTGTCCTTTAAACCCCACATACGAAACCCGCGTCACTTCCTCCTCACCCTGGCTCCAATTTTCCTCGAAAAACAGCGTTATGGACGTTGTGGTGTTGAACTGCGCTCTGTTCAGGGGAATCTCGAGCACATCTGAGGTAGGGCCGGTGAGGGTTTGAGGCACGGAGAGAGTCTGGGTTGGGGCTAGATCTGCGGCCGTGGAAAAGTCGAGGTCTGGTCTGTTGCGGAAAAGTTTTACAGTTTTGGGTGCTGAGGCGGTTGGGGCGGAGAAGAGGAGGAGGGAGTGGAGTTTTGTTTGGCCCGTGAAGCTACGCGAAGTGGGGTCAGTTAAGGGAAGCCCGAATTATTGGCTAATGTTTGAGAGAGTGATTGTATTCCTCTTGTTCCTCATGCATGGGTGGTTGTGGAAGGGAAAGGTATGTAACAGTATTTGTTTGGTGGGATGGAGGGGTTGAGAAATTAAACTAACGGGATATACATGAGCAATTGCTCATCAACATCACTCTCCAACTCCGGTAGCTCGTCTAGCCGTTGCGCCCATGTTTTTTTCACGATGGCAGCGCCAGACTTGGACTCTGCTTCGTTCAGGGTGACGATGCCATCGAAATCGATTTGCTGGTAGAGATTCGATTGGAGGGCGGGCGTAATGTCGGAGGAATGGTCGTGGTCGTGGTCGTGGTGGCCATCCTCCCCGTGCCCATGGCTATGGCTGTGATCGTGATCGTGGTGATGGGGCATTCTGATTGATTTCCATCCGAGGGATGTAGTATGGGAAAGGAACGCAATCCTGGTGTTGCTGTGATTTGTGGAAGTGGACGTGGTGTGGTCTGCCGGTGACGCTTGCTTATGATGTCAGAACTCGCGTCGCAGCAGGTAGAATGAAGCAAATGCAGATAAATAGCAACAGCACAGGGAATAATCGACTGGGAGGACGACTTCCAGGGTTTGCTTAGAGGGGATCATGTACGTAAATGTACTCTTCTATCCAATTGGCTAAGGGTGTCTTTAAATTCCAAATTCTTAATTAATGTTATTTTGTTTGAAAAAGACTAGTTATATGGTATTTGTACTGTACAAGCTCAAAATCACGGTTCGTCGACCTTAACTCGCCCAATTTCGGGCATCCTGCTTGGATTAGAGGATTAAACAACTTAGGTGTATTTATTTATCACTTTTTAACTTGGTAGTAATCCGGTGCATACTCGAGTAGCCAAGACTTCTCGATTTTGGTAATATCACGAATAAATGTCTTGTTCCCTGTCTGTAGGATTTCATGAAAGATTACCCAGTCTGCTTTGCGGTTCTACATTATGATGCATATCATCAGCCATCACGAAGTACGGAAATGACAGTATTTATATATATGAACAAGAATAAGGGACGAAAAGCAAGGGACAAATTGCCACTTACAAACATCAACGAGCTGGGGTGGGCATGCAGTGTGATGTCACCACTGATGGGCCTAAAACTGCCATCTGGCTGCATCTTTGCCGCATGTGCAAAATATCCGGTTGTAAGACAGCGCTGAATTTGCTCTGATGGCGCGGGGCTAGATGAAGAGAGACTTTCATCAACCTGAATGCCAAATCGTTCAAGGTACCGTTTGAGCTGTGCACGAATGCTAACAGCCTTTGACATAGATTTGTAGTTTAAGCAATTATCCCGGCACCACTTGGAGTCCTTCTTTCCCTTGGTGACAAATGCTTGGTAAACATTTAAGTAGGTTAAGTGGTCTCCTTCATCCACAGCAAACTTTCTGCGGGTGCTCTCAAATACCTTCTTTTCGTCAGCCTTCTCGAACCAGACCGTCCCTTGCAGACTCGTCATCGCAGCAATTGACAGAATCTCACTCAGACACTTAAAGGACGGCGCATCAAGCAGAACCTTGGCCATCATAGGCTCCACTGCAAGTTCAGCCATTTGGATTCCGAGCGGGCGAGCAAGTTTCGCATAATCGTCGACGGCTCCGAGGGAATACAGTAATTCAAAACCACGAATAACGAGCTCAGACGGAGGGGGAGTAAGAAAGTCAAAGCGAACGATGTTGTCAATGCCCAGCGCTTTGAGCTGCAGAATCACAGGTGCAAGGTTGGAGCGTTGGATTTCCGGAACCGTGACATCTGGAAGTGATTGGTAAGAAGTCTCAGTGTAAAGACGGAAGCATTTTCCTGGTTTCGTCCGTCCTGCACGCCCAGCTCGCTGGGTTGCAGATGCCTTGGAGATAGGGGTTGGGGTCAATGTCTCTATTCCAGTATTTGGATCGTATGCGCGGAGTTTTGCAAATCCGCAATCGATGACATACACAACTCCATCAATGGTGACGGAAGCCTCAGCAATATTGGTGGATACAATGACTTTGCGAGTCTTCTCAGGGGCGGGCTCGAAGACGTAAAGTTGCTGTTCAGTGGTAAGTCCAGCATAAAGGGGCAATGGAAGCAGGGCTAGAGCATTGCCATGTAACGAGTCTGCTTGCTCCGAGATTTGCTGGACTACAGTGTCGATTTCCTCCCTTCCCGTGAGGAACACCAATATGTCCCCGTCGGGTTCACTGGTATGGATATCAAATACAGTTTTGATCGTTCTTTCCACATAATCTTCGGCTGGTGTCTCAAGAAATAAGCAGTCCACAGGATACATCCTCCCTTCTAAGGTGATAATTCTGCCGATAGAGCCACCCAGCTTATCCTCGCTTTCAGGGTTGAATTCATCCCCAGCAAAAAAACGCAAAAATTCTTCTGCCTGTAACGTAGCACTGCTAATCACGATACGTAATTCAGGTCGCCGTTTTCTAATTTTCTTGAGCACACCGAGCAAGATATCGGTGCTTATGGAACGTTCATGGGCCTCGTCGACCATAATAACAGAATACCGGGAGAGCAAAGGGTCAACCAAAGCTTCTCGTAGCAACAAACCGTCGGTCAGGAACTTGATTCGTGTTAATGAGGAAGTCACATCCTCAAAACGTATCGAATAGCCTACATCTTCCCCCACTTTACACCGCATCTCCTCTGCTACCCTCGTTGCGACTGTGGTCGCAGCCACCCGCCGAGGCTGGAATGGCACACTTTAGCTAACCGAGCATACAGCAAAAAGAAACATATTTATGGAAGAATAGAAGTAGACCAAAACAAAACCTACCTGAGTGACAGCAATGATCTTCCCATCAGAACACCATCCTGCCTGGTCGAGAAATTGGGGCAACTGGGTAGTCTTGCCGCTACCCGTTTGACCCACAACAATAGTCACAGGATAGGTTTCTATCAGGTACAGAAGGGATTGCCGGTGGCGTGCAATTGGTAGCAGCGCTGCAGGCTTATACAGCGACGGGATGAACGTAGCTGAGAGATCCAAGTCTGATGCCATTGAGAAAGCAGTTGGATGTCCAACTGGTCTCAACTCACAAAGGCAGCCAGAATATATCCGTATGATCCATATTTCAGTGGCCAGACCGCGGTAGAGCCCTTCTATCCCACCAAGCCTGGAGGTATTTACTCGGCCATTGCAGAGTTAGCCATTCTTCAATGTTCGTGTGTACATTTTACTAGATCAAGACCAAGGCAAAGATTCCACGCGGCGCTTACCTCAGCCATGGGTATTAATAGTTTCTCCGGGCCCCGATGATGTGGCTGAGGCTCGAGGCTTGGTGGGTGACGTATTAGGAATGGCGTCAGCTATGGTGATCATGACGCTATTCCGGATCAGACTAGCTTATCTCAGCTTCCACGGTTGAGCCCGAAACGCAGATAGAGAAGTTAGATAAACAGGAAGCGCAACCCGGCTCAGCTGCCTTGTCTTGCGATTCATATATCCCTGAGAGAGACCAGTTGTCTTCGTCCCATATCCGCACTCCACTAGATATTTGATCGCAATATCTACAACCTTATCGTTAAACAAAAAATACCGTCGCCATGGCTGACGGAGAAAAAGTCGTAGGTGCTTGCCATGTCTAACCCCACACTCCCTCTATCCAACTGATTTTTGACCATAGAATACACCACTGAAGGCCTTAGCTTCCCAGAGCAATCCTCCAGAGTCTCCAACTACAGCTAGGCCTCTGGACTTTGACGATGAATCGCAGGAGTCTGGCGTGACCCCAATACAGCCAACTTCAGCGCCAAAAGCATCCTCACAATTGACACCAGGCGGCAACGATGGGGCCCCACCAAAACCACCCCGACCACTCAGCCCCATGCAGCAAGCAGAGAACACTTTAAAAGAGGCGTTTCCCAGTATCGATGCCAGCGTTATAAAAGCTGTTTTGGTGGCTAGTGATGGGAATGTTGAGAGATCATTCCATGCGCTGCTCGGTATGGAAGCCTAGCCTGCACAGATAGGGGTTAAACAGTATCTCATGTTTCTCTTACTATAGGCATGTCGGACCCTGATGCGCAAGCGGATCTGCCGCCTACGATGCCCCCGCGGCCACCCCGGAAGGATTCCCCCACTCAACGACAACTCGAAGCCGATGAAATGTATGCGCGTCAGCTTGCGGAGCATTACAGCGGAGTGGGCCAACGTCATAGAGCCCCGGAATCTTCGTGGGACCATGAACCGCATTTGCCGAGACAACGCAGGGAGACTGGATTAAAACCCAATGAACTCCATGATGACAGAGAGCATAACTTTTTTGATGGTACTGTTGCACTTTCTAAATTTCTTCATTTATCTGGTCTCGGTCAGTCCATCACACTAACAAAGACGCGTTGCCACACCAGATGATCTACCGATAATTAAGGAGAACATTCGCAAGGGATTCCTAGAGACGCAGACGAAAGTTAACGCTTGGGTTCAAAACTTCAAGAAGAAGCTTGAGGGCGATGACGAGGAGGACGAATATGGAAATCCACCTCCCCATCCAGCACAGGGATATGCCCAAGGATACGGCGACACTCAGACCTATCGCGCAAGGCGGAGCGGCGAGGCCAGGCGAAGTGGTGACCGCGAACGGTACGATGCCGACCCTCAGGTCTTAGGTGACGACTTCTCCGCATTAGAGCTGAGAGATGCTGAAGGTATAGGCCTTTCCTTCCAAGATTCATCTGCAAACCAACATTCTACGCAAGTTATCCTCTAATCTGAAGATTATTTATACTTACATATCACAGCCCATCTACCACGCTCATCGCGACCCCTCGCAAACCCCGATCTCTTTAAGCCCAACTCACCATCACCTGACCGTCGAAAAGTCTCTTTCCAAGAGGGACCTCCTGAGGAAATACATGATGCTTATGGCCCCGGCTCTGCATCTGACAGAAGCAAGCAGCCGTCATCCACTGGCGGTAGCAATAAGTCCAGCAAATGGCAACCACTCTCTACAGTCGAACCTTCACCAGTTGCAGACAACGATCCATTCAGCCTTGGTGACAGCGACGACGAGAAGGAGATTAGGAATAACAATAAAGATCTTAAGCCCGACGAGGCTGAGAGGGTGAGGAAGGCTACTACAGAAGCTATGGCGGGGGGTATTGGGACTGATTCTCCAAAGGCTGGCAACAAGAATAAGCCCGCTGGGGGAACTTAGACAGGGCGGGGCTCCAAGTTACTTTGTTTTTTATTGTTATAGTTTGTCATACTTCTTGACTTTTGCTGTATACTCTTTCTTCATTTCGTCTCACCCCATACTTTTACTGTATCCTGGGTAAACCAATACCTACCTTTGATCTTCTTTCCCAAATTGCAGGCTCGCACAACATGTGCGCGGAGAGTGCTTACTTATGTTATCCGAGCATTTTAGAGCGACTTTTTACCCCTTTATCTATTATGATTGTTCCCTTTCTTTTTGTGAATTTTGTCAATGCGAGACGGCGGGAGGGGGGCCATTTTGATTTTGTAATTGATGTCTAACTATTCCTTTTCGATTGACTATATCGCCAAATTATCCTTCTCCCCTCCCTACCCGGCCCTGGCGGCATGGTAACCCATTTTGTCACCGTTATCCCCCCCCCTCTCTGCGATGTATAGTAAACCGTTATGTACTGTACATTCCGAATATAATCAATCACATCCATCCAGATGGTCTCCGAAAGTTGCCCTAGCTACCCCCCGGCTCTCTTTCTCTCATTGTAAGCAGCCAGAAGAATCTCAGAATGGAAGACAAAAGCAGATGGCGCTACTAACTCAAGCGGAGGGTTAAAAAAAAAAAAAAATAAAATAAAATAAAATAAAATAATAAAAAAAATCAAAAATCAAAAAGAAAACCAAAAACGAAAATAGCCAGCTAGATATGGGAATGTGGGAATCCCCGAGGGCCTATTCTATGCACGCAGCCGATGTAAAACTGATAGATATCAAATCAAACTAGGCAGTAGAACCACACACGAAAAAAAAAAATAAATAAATAAATAAAATAAATAAATAAATAAAAATAAAAAAGGAAAAAAACCGCGCACCTTAAAAGAAATACAGTGTTATCAAACTCCCCTAAACAGCACCTCGGGGAAGAAGAAGAGGAGGAGGAGGAGGAAAGGGCCTCATATAAACCGTCCTCCCACAGCACCAATACATATGCAATCTTCGCAGGAACAAAACATCGCACATAGAACCAAGCCAAAATCAGAGGGGAGAAACAGAAACGGAGAGAGGGAAAAAAAAAAAAAAAAAAAAATTCCCCCTTTCCGTCCTTCCACAAAAAGGTGGGGGTTATGGGAACAGGCAATATCAAATCACCAAGGAACACCCTCACCATCTCTCTCTCTCTCTCTCTCTCTCTCTCTATTCTTTGCCATCATTCGGAGCAACGATAAATTACACACACGTCCATCCAGAGGAGCCAGGGAGAATAGCGTAGTTCAGGTAAGGGGGAAAAAAAAGGGGTGTTAAACGCATTACAACATTGCTATTCATGCATTCCTTTTCCTTATTCCACCGCAGCGGAGGCGGGGTCTGGTGCAGCATCGAGTAGTCGTTGTTATTGCAGTCGCGCCTCTCTGCGCATTCTTTAATGACGGCCTGCAGAGGTATCGGGTTATTATATCATATTAGAGAAAGGTGGATATGGGTTTGTCCTTTGTTTCTTTTTGTTCTTTTCTATCGTTTGGATCTCTCAACGCAGCTATAAAGAGGAGCTGAAGCGCATGAAAGGTAGCTGAGGTGAAGGGAGGGGGAGGTGGGGACAAAAATAGAATAGAACCATCAACACAGAGCAGGTGTATATACGTACAGCCAGAGCTTCAGGATTCACGCCGTTCTCGATTAGGGAGACGCAGAGAGATAGCTCCGTTCGGTCGAGGTGGGTATTCTGGAAGACACGGTGAGCAAGACAAATAGAAACACCAAAGTCATGGAAGGGGATTTTTTTGTTTGATTATTTGGGATTTAATACATATATAATTCCTCATTTTACTTTCTAAAACAGATCTATACATATATGAGGGTTTTGGGGGGAAGGGGGGGGAGCTCATGGAACATACCAGGATTGTGGATATTTCATGAAGGATATCAACAACTTCGCGCGCAGCTTGTCGTTTGTCGTCCTGTTGTTGTTGCTGCTGCTGGTGCTGGTGTGGAGGCGGGACGGGCATGGCTTCGTTGGCGTCTTTTCCAGTTTCTTTCTTTCTCTTCTCTTTGCTCTCTCTAATATAATTATTATTCCCCTACGTACTAGTACCGGTGGGGGGTTTCGGCGACGAGGTTTGGATCAATAAAGTTATCGGATTTTTTTTTTTTTTTTTTTTTTTTTTTTTTTTTTGGGCCTAAGAATGGTAACTAGTGTTTAGCGCGTTTTTGCTCCACATGGAAAAATAAAAAAGCCCGAGATCTTGGACCTTAG